GCTAAAATTTTTTAAAAACAGACAACCTAATTTTGGATGGAGGCCTATGGATCTCGCTATTCCTTTCAATTTTAATAAAAATATTGAAAATTTTTTCCAAATTTCAATAAATTTTAGAAATTTAATAAAAGAAAGTTAAAAATTTACAAAAAATGCCCTGACACAGAAGAGAGTGTAAAATGGATTGTGAAGTGATTTGTCACAGATAATAGTCCAAACTTCCAAAATATATAAAATAACTGATGGCAAACTTATACAGATTGAAAAATACAGGAATAAATCTTTTAAAGAGATCATTGTGGCTTAATATTAAGTAAATAATTTTCATTAGTAAATAAAATTTAAAAAAATAAAATGTACTATTGGACGTTTAAGCGTACCACAAAGTGGGTTGGAAGATAAACAAGTCCAAAATAGCGTTTGGCCGATCCTGGGAAATCATCTGATATAAGGATTGAACCGAAAATATCCGACTATCAATTCCTAGTACTTTATTAATACATATCCTATCTCATCCCTAATTGTCTCAGATTAATTTTCCTTTCATTTTCTTTTGTCTCGGAACTGATAACCAGTCCACCAACAATTGCGAAATTAAAAATTCAGAAATCTAAAAATGAATTAACTAAATTTATTATTAAATCCAAACTAAATAATTTCAAAGAAACATACATAAATATTTATGAGACGGATATTTTAGAAAAATTGAAAAAATATTTTCCCAATAATTTTAGAAATTCTACTATATTATTATAATAAATTTTCTTAAATATTGTGATTCTTGGCTCTATTTTTACCAGAGTTGAAATAAAAAATATAATCAATAATAAATAAAAATAATAATATCGTTCTCCTAAGATTATTTTAGTATAATTATTCAAAAGAAATACTCCTTATTTTAAAATAATAAAAATCATAAATTATTTTAGCTTTCATCTCAAATAAATTTTTGTTTTGTTAAGACAAAAAATTTTTTAAAAATTATTTTTGTGCATTAAACAAAAAGAATTTTAATTTAATTATGTTTAGAAAATGTTATAAAATTTAAATAACTATTATTGTCACGAAATAAATTTTTTTGTTTAACGTTTATGTTAATCATAAAATCTAAAACAACAAAAAATTTGTATTAAATTTGTATTGAAAATATAAAAATAAGGGTGTATAACATGAATGGGTGGGTTACCGGAAATCCGATACCCGAAACACAGTGACCGAAAAAAAACCTAGACCAGAGTTGTCGTTTTACCCTATTTATAGGGGATTTTCGCTATTTTTTATCTTTTCGCCCTATTTTTTTCCTATTTTATACATTTGCCAAATTTTGCCCTATTTTTAACATTTGGTAATATTTTTCAAATTTTCTGGGATTTTGCAAATAAAATGCGAAAAAACAAAGAAATCTAACTCTTGGACATAAAAATTCCCAAAATTTTCGCCTGCGCGCTGAAAAAAGTGAAATCTCTACTATCGGTCTTCTTAATTTCTCAAAATTTTCGCATTCGGCGCTAAAAAAGGAAAAAAATCTGGCTTCATAACTTTTCAAAATTTGCAAAATTTTGCTAAAAATGGAGGAAATCTATATGTTCCAAAGATAACCCTGATCTAAACCTATCGACTTTTCCCAACACGACATTTTTCGAAGATTACTAAATAATTGAGAGCTTCTTAGCCTTCCATTATTTTCAAAATTTTCGCCCGCATCACTAAATATTTAGAGCAAAATAAAGGAGATGTACATATCTATCGATATCTTCGCTTGATTCTTTAGTCCCACTTAATCACACCAAATCACCGGTATAATTCTTAACCCTTAATTCTTAATCTTTTAATAACCATATAAATATCATTATAAAAAATACATATCTAAAAACTTTCCAAATAACAAAAATCATTAAATCTAGAGACCTAAATCGCCTCGTTAATATATATAAAACTTATATAAGACCCCAGCTAGATGCAACTGAAGTGTGGAATCCACACATGAAATATCAAATAGAGAAAATCAAAAAAATTCAAAAACTATTCAATAAAAATTCTTACATTAAATGTGAATTAATCAAGGTCCCATATGAAGAAAGATTAAATACTTGTAAACTCGAAAGGTTGATAGTAGATAGAAGAAAAATTGTGGATCTATCCACCGCTTTTAAAATTATAAAAGGGTTTACATCTCTTAATTCCCAAAAATATTTTAATTTTTCAAATAGATCACTTGCAGGCCTCTACTTTTAAGGATTAAAAACCACACAAATAGAAAAAATTTTTTCCATGGGTTTGTAAATAAATGGATACTGGTCCAAATGTATCAATTAAAATAAATGATACCAACAAATCTAGAATTTTCATTAAGGTATCACAATCTAAATAAACTACTCGATCCTGAGAAAATTTGATGATAAACTTAATTAAAATTGATCACCGTATATCATATTTAGGGGTACAATGATATACATCACTCTTGATGCATAATATATTCCGCTCCGCATATTATATTGTAATGTATCGCTCTAAGTAGCTCTAGTAATCTTCGCTCTAAGTAGCTAAAGTTCCCAAGGAAAAGGCTAAGAACGCCACAAACGGCATTGCCAGAGTTATTAGCCGCCCATTATCTAACTAACATCGCCACTAACATATCCTTGGGAAAGCGATAAGTAAGCTGGTGAATATATGCTTTAATGTAATAGGCAAAGGCAGATACTTACTCATGCATTCAACAGAGTGCCGGCCGCCCAATCCAACGAGTCGTAAGGGAAGAGCGCTCTCCCTATATTCCCACACTGCTTGCGATTTACCTATTCTATACTCTGCGGAGTTCACACATGATTGCAACATGCGCGACTCTGCATATAACCTTAACTAACAAACGAGGCACTAGGTAATGGGACCAACCGCTTTACTATATGAACAGCTCTAAATTTTTCGATCTCTAATGCAAACACTTGAAATTCCTGATAAAATAAAATAACCCTCAATTATTATTTGAGATTCAGACTTTTAATTTTATAAAATTGTTTATCTTTATAAGAAATTAAGCTATAATCTAAAAACTATTGCAAAAATAATTTCGTGACATTGTTTTAGAAAGTAATTTTTTAATAATTTTGAGTAAAAAATATTATAAAAATAATATTAACTTTTGTTTCATTTATAAACAAAAGTATTTTAAAAAATAAGTTTTTTAAATGTTTTGTTTTTAATCTTAACAAAAAATTGTTTTAATAAATAAATTGAAACAGATTTTTATAGTTTAATTTTTTATATTTAAACAAAATATATTTTTTTAATTAACGAGACAAATTTCTCTCTATTATTTAATTATGTAAGAGACAAAATATCTAGAAACATTTTTAAATCTATTTTGACTATTTACATATGTATGTAGTAATAAAATTCAACAATTTTGTTGATGAAGTTTTTGTTGATTTACTGGCAAAACCTTAATTATTGTTTGACATTTCTGTACTTTTTGATGTTTATTCATTGATCCAATAATACTTTTCTGAAGTTTTTTCGGAAGTATTTTCTGAAGAAATTTAATTCTAAAAGATTGACTGGCCCAAAGTAATGGCCAACTAGGCAAAACTACGATTCCAATGTCCATAACAATTGTAAAGATACTGTCAAGAAATGATTTGAATGAATATAGGCCAGAAGTAACGGCAACATATTGCATAATCTGATTTAGAATTTGATTAATATAATATCTTTTCATTTTCCTTATCAGTTTTCTTTATGATAATTTTGGTTATAAATTAGGTATTATATTTTCATATAACATTAAAAGTTAAAATAAAAGTGTATGATCACGGCCCGCCGAGGCAAGCATTTTCTAGAATAGTTATGCAATGCGGGAATGGACTCTCGAGATTAGAGTGGTCCAGCGGTTTTTTTTATTACACTGATTAATGAATCAAAAAGTAAACCAACCCCTCGATTATTTAGCGATTTTGATAAATATAAAAAATAATCCCCCTAAGAATCAACTAAAAAATCAAATCTACCACAACAATGGCCATAATCAATGGGCCAATTGAGGATATCAAAGCAGAAACCCACAATCTTCGTTCAATTTTATCATCAAAATTTTTATGTCGAGCAATGTTATCTGGTTCCACTTTATTTTTTATCTTCATTTTATAGGCAAAAATAGTCATAAAATTAATCATAATGAAAGCAAAGAGAAAGAAAATTGATTCTATTGTACTTAATTTCCAGTAGAAATTTTGTCTTCCTTCCTTTAAATTTTTTAAAATTAGTTTAAATATTCGCATTATAAACCAACATTTCCTAATTCAATAACACCAATAGAAACAATACTTTCATTCTTTTCATCTCTTTGAATGAAACAAGTGTATTTTATTGTAAGTATCCCAATACGACTCAAAGGTAATACAAAGCAAAGAAAGCATGCTATCAGATGGATCTTTTGCCATAACTCAAAATTAGAAATTAATTTAGAAATTACTCCCTCTCTCCTCCAAAATTTAACAAAATAAAAAATCCTGGATTTAATATGGGTGATTTTTGGATGACCCGGTTCACATAATCTAAAAATATTTTAAGTTGCTGAGACCTACCTTAAATGTCTTTCCCAGTTCTTATAATTGACAATAAATCATTTATTGAAATTATAAACTTACATATCTCTTATATGCTATAAAAATAAATGACTAAAAAAAGTAAGGAAAGAATAACTATAATGCTGGTAAAAATAATGCTAATGATATTTATCTATAGCGACATAGCCAGAGATGACTAATAGGGTGCTTGAATTAATACAATAAAGAAAAGTTCTTCCCTGTTTCTATTTTAAACAACGCCTTTGTTAATTATGTTCCTCCTTGTGGAATATAAATAATACAAGTACAAACACGGTAGAAAAATTTACGTGAAAACGGAAATTGTTTTTATCGGCAGATAGTTAGTATTGTTTTTACCAGCATATGACTCGAATTAACAAATTTTCTACGACTGTAATGACAGACAGGCTCTTTTATTTATTTATAAAGCGCAGTATACGAAACGAGTTCATCGAACCTTCTTACCTTTTGATAGTTAAATGCCCATCCAATAGCTATAAATCTGTTTAACATTATAAAAAATGATGACAGATTATCGCCAATAAATACATAGCTTGCTAGGAAATCAAATATTGCCAATCCCCATTCTGAATATGGATGGGCTATAAACCAATATGAAAACAAATTTGGAATTCTGTATCCATAATATGAATCAAGAATGTAGACAAAACCCTTTAAAGTTGATAAAATTAAATAGAAATTTCTTTTATCTTACATAAAATGCTCGAATACAGAACAGCGCGTAGAAAGAATTGTGAAGAGATTTGTTCAAAATAATTGTCCAAATTTCTAAAATGTAGACAATAACTGAAGGTAAACTTATGCAGATTGATAAATAAAGGAAAAGATCTTTTAGACAGATCATTTATCTCTGAAAGTAATTATGCATTATTATAAATTACTCTTAAATTATTTAGCCATATTTTAAAAAAACCAGCCGCCCAAGTAACCTCATTATTTTCGAAATTAGTGGAACTTCGAAAAATCCGCAAAATTTCAGGCAAAAATATTTATCAAAATGAATATGTAATACAGAACAAATGAAGTTCAAATGTCTCCCATCATCTTGATCTCGACATATGATGGGGTAAATGTTTTTAAAAAATATTTTCGAACCTTATAGGCTGTTTTAGTATTTTTGGGGTCGCTTTAGTACAGGCCCACCGAGATCGAAAATCGAAAATATACCATTCGATTCATCTCGCCGAGCTGAGTTCAAATATGTAAGAATTTTCTGTGTGAGACGAAAACTCGCAGAGATATAGCCTTCGAAAATCGAAAAACCATAGGGAGGAGTAAGCACATTTTTGGGTAAAAATTCTATTATACAAATGATAAAACATTCGAAAGAGCTCATCGAGCTGACCCAAATCACCCATTTGAACCCCAAACTTAAGCTGACATTTAGTGATTCCTCAATTTTTATATGGAAAATGGCTATACTTAAAAAAATTTTTTCAATGGCTGTGTCCTTTGCGTTTTTGGAAATTGTCTCTTGCGCCCGCCCCTGCCCCAGACATTCGCTCATGCGTTAAGAGTACACCCTTTGTTTAAATTATAAACAATAAAATAAACAATTTATTTAATAAATTTTCTATTTATAAATGATACAAAATTAATATTATTTTTGTGACTTTTTTATTCAAATATTTAGAAATATAGCTAAAAACAATAAAGTCACGAAATATATCTAGTAATTTTAAATACAAATAAATTTGAAAATACATATTTAAAAGTACAAATACCGTAAATGCTCTAATTAAGCGTTATTTTTCGATTTGTCACTTTGCGTGGGCTTATATCAGATATGGGCTTCTTTTAAAGAATGGGCGTTTATTTTCAATCCCTAAACTAGGATCACATTAGCTTTTCAACCAATACCAATTTTACTCAAACAAGCACGAAAATTGAAATCTTTAAGCAATTTTATAAAAAAATATTTCAAAATAATCTTGGTCATTTTCTCCCAATAGTCTTGATTTCGTTGGATTATTACAATAATTGCAGTGTGGGCATTGTTGGATTTGGTCTAATTTAGTTGAATTTAGTCCATTGACAATAACTCCATCGATCTGTAGATATGCAATGTTAACAAGTTAACATACTCTCATATTTAAATATGATTTTTTTAACAAGAACTGGTATTAAGCCCGAGGTCTGAATGTAATAAATTATTTGGATGAGTTCAGAGGATATTCTCTCTTCACCTTTTGCCCCGAACACATGTAAAAACTAACCGGACGGCTAACCAGTTTTGTCCAGCCCTACATAGAGGCAGCGAGCTGGACATTTACCGGACCTGTTGAGCACTAGTAGACGCAAATAAACTAGTCTGTACTAGACGCAATCAAGATAGACTCTAATCCCATCTCTGAAATCTAATTTTTAAAAAGAATTTTTCTTTTTCTTAATGCTAGTAAAATTATATAAATGTTTTACATCTATTTAGAGAAAAAATTTTTTTGGTGGGTTTATATTAGATATGGGCCTCTAATAGTGCCGGCCTCTAATTAGTCCCTTTTGCGAACATATAGGTAGAGTTAAAGAAACCGGTTAGTAGCCCTGTTAATATTTCCCGGTGTTGGGTCTTTTTTTCAATTTTCTAATCTCTCTTCTCGTTTTGCCCCGCCACATGGAAAAATTAACCGTGCGTTTAACAGGTTTTGTCCAACCCTACATATAGGCAGCGAGCTGAACATTTACCAGACCTGTTTGTGCGGCCGGTTGAGCCCTACAAGTTGAGACTGGCAGTTAAGACCGAGGACACCCAGTGAGTTTAACAACTTCTTTCACAACTTCTGATGATGGTCGGGAGTTTAAAAAGCCGAGAGTCGAAACCGAGACTGTGAATCAACCCCTAGAGCGAGAGTCTAGACCGAGACCGAGATAAATTTGATCATTTCAGAAGTTCTCACAAGTTTATATCATATATAAATATGTTGTTGATTCAATTGATATGTATTTATAGCTAAAATTAAAATAAAAATTTTTCAAACCATATTTATCAACATCTATCATCTAATTAAACTGAATCAATAGTAGACTTGGAGATAACAGGGAGACTGGGCTCCAGTTGCCGGGCCTAAATTTTTTGAATGACTCCAAATGGAGAATCGGGATAATAAGATAAACGCATTTTTTTCAACGCCGGAAGCAAAATTTTAAGATATTTTTGGAATTTATGAGAAAAAAGTTTATACATGAATTTTTAATTGCACATTTTCTTTTTAAGAATTGCCGACACCTCTAATAATTACTTACTAAATTTTATTTCCAATAAATACATACAGATTTAATAAAAAATTAAATGCTAAAATATCATTTAATATTTTGTTTCAATTATTTAATATGTATTTATTTTAAAAAATTTAAAAAATTTATCAAATGTAAATGCGAAAATTAATTTTTTGATTATATTGATCCAACTGGATTAAAAATTTCCATTTCGGCCCTATATGAAATTAGGTTGGGAATCGTTTTTTTCATTACTTTTTTCCTCCCTTGACATGACATAATGGTCAGCATTTCCTTTCCTTGTTCAGTTCCATTGAATATGCCTGTAGCATATTAAAACAGAGATGATAAAGCAGGGTTGCGATCGACAGAATGCTAATCAAAAGTACAAAAATCATGATTTTAAAGTACATAGGGACAAAATTTCCAAATTTAAAGTACACTCAAAATTAAATTAGAAAATATTTTTTCGTGCCAAATCTTTTATATTTCTCTCCTAAATGGATCTTTTTTAAGCATTTTGTGAATTTCAATGCATGATATGTCAAAATTCGCTGACAAAAGAAATAAAGCCTTGACAGTCTTCTCATTAAGCATGTTAAAAATTTTGATTTTTAGCGCCGCAGGAGTAAATTTTGTAGATTTTAGAAGGCCGAAGGCAAAAAATTACCTTTTTAGCGCGCAGGCGAAATTTTTTGAAATTTGGAGCCGAAGAAGTCAGTCGAAATTTGAAAATTTCGGAGGCCGTAGGCCAAAAAAATTTAGTTTTTTCCCCAAACTCTTCCCCAATCTCATTTTCAATCCAAAATGTTGATTATAAAGTACATACATACTTTCAATAAAGTCAATATAAAATCAAAAATTGTTAAAATTTACAAAAAATTAACGACGTTTTCACACATTTACATATTAATTACATTCATTTTTTGATCAGTCATTATGTTTTATAAATTTAAAAAATTACTTGATCGTTCAAAACTTCAGCAATTTAAATAAGAATTTACATTTATTTCAATAGAAATCCGTTATCTAATTATATGACATTTTATCCCTATAGCAACTGTCTGAAGTCTTTCTCACACATCTTTCTCATAAACAATGTTTATAAGCTCATACAAAAATTTGTACCCTACTTGTACTTTTGTGCTTAGATGGAGTACAAAGCAAAATTTAACTATTAGATCTTGTTCTTGGTTCAAAATATTTTTTATTTGTCCAAAAATTTCTTTAGTTGTCCGTTATAAAGCGAGTGTTCGAGTTGTTAAAGTGTTAAGCTACAATTAAGTTGATATTTATTTTAGTTTTACATGGAGGAATTATAGCTTTCTCAAAATTTTTCAAAATTTCCGCCTGGGGTGCTAAGAAAGAAGAATAGAATGTTTGAAAATAGAAAAAAATCTTCTGCTCCACTAAAAATCTAAAACTCTGGTAAATTACAAAGTATAAAGTAAGATACGAGGTACGAGCCTAAAAAGGGCATGTACGAAGTATGAGTATGAGCAAGATTGTAATTTATAAACAATGCTCATAAATAGTATCTAGCATTTTAGGTTTCGAACTATTTTTACAACTTTGTAAATTTTAATGAACCTTAAAATAATCTTGTCGTACTGTACATTTCCTACATTTTTTAAAAATAAACAAGTTATTTTCATTCGAGACCTTATATGAGGGTTAAAGACATTTTTATAACTTTTTCTGATAATGTAAGATTTTATTTATTCACGTGACTATCTGTATAAATAAATTTTTAATATTTGAATACAATTGTAACAAAGATTTTTTATTCATTTTGAAAAAATATTAAAATAATTTTTTTCAATTTTTTAAAATTAAACAAAGAATATAATAAATTGAACATTATTTTTAAAAGCTATTTTTTAATTTCCATGATAAAAAACAATAAAAATTTTATAAAGAAAATTGCGTTTCAATTATTCAAATCTTTTCGAATTTTATTATTTTAAAATTATACAAACTCCTAATTTTTAATTTTTTGGGTATTTTCTTTTCTTATTTAAATCAGCCACATTGACGTAGTATATTCTACTTTAATATGAAATTAAATTAAAATATTAATAATTTAGAGCACGAATTTTAAGTTTACACTTCACTACTTCAAAATTAAATATAATTTTCTAATAATTGTATAAATCTTTTAAGTATTCAATTAATGTTTTACTTGAAAGATTTCTTCTTTAATTTTTCAATCTGCATAAGTTTACCGTCATTTATTGTCTACATTTTACAAGTTTTGACGATAATTCGGCACAAATCTCTTCATAATTCTTTCTACGCTCTGTTCTGTATTCGAGCATTTTATGTAAATTTTAAAAATAATTATGAAGACGTCCGTGACTCGTTCTAGTAATCAGGACTTCTCTTGGGGTTTTCGGTCTCATTTTACGATTTTTGCTTAAGTCTTGGTCTCCAGTATTGGAAATTTCTATTTAATTTTAACATTTTAAAGGGTTTTATATATTTCATCAACTCTTATTATGGTTACCGAATTCCAAATTTATTTCCATATTGGTATATAGCTAATCCTTATCCAGAATGGACATTGCCATTAATTGATTTCCTGGCAAGCTATACATTTATTGGTGATAATCTGTCATCATTCTTTATAATGCTAAACAGATTTATAGCTATTGCATGGGCATTTAACTATCAAAAGGTGAGATATTTTGAAAATTCTAAATGTAATAGATGATATGCCTCCTTCACTACTCAAAATAGAAAAATTATCCAATAAGTAACCCATAAATAATTCACAATAAACTCATTGTTCTTGCTTTAAGTGGTTTGGTAGTTTGTTGTGGTAATTTTAAATAAATTTCTATTAAAGTTATGGAAAAAGATTCACCTGTTAGCATGTTTTCTATGTTTTGTTTTACCTTTTAACTGTATTGGCATGCTTACAATAAGATATACTTATTTTGCTGAAATGGATGAAAAGAATCAAAGTATTGTTTCCATTGTTTTTGCTGAAATAGAAAATGTGAGTTGATTATGAAATAATTAAATTATGAAATAATTAATTTATTTTTAAAATAATTTTTATAGGAAGGAAGGCTTAATTTCTACCTTCAATTAAGCACAATTGAAGCAATCATCTTTCTTTTTGCTTTCATTATAATTAATTTAATGACCATTTTTGCTTACAAAATTAAAATAAAAAATAAAGTGGAACCGATTAATATTGCTGGAACTAAAAATTTAGATGATAAAATTGAAAGTAGATTGTGGATTTTTGCTTTGATATCTTCTTTTGGCCAAATGCTTATGGCAATTGTTGTGGTAAATTGAATTTTATGTGTTTATCCTTATAACGATTTTTGGGATTTTTTGGGATACTATTTATTGGGATACTATTTAATAGGAACTCTCTATAAGTAGATTAATTTTAAAAATTATCAAAAAGAATATTTTAATGAAAGAATAATTAATTTTATTGATTTACTCAGATTTTGGAATATATCGCCATTATATTGGGCCTAAAATCTCCCTTACCATATATCAGCAGTATATACTCAATTGTTATGGACATTGGAATTGTTGTATTGCCAAGTTGGCCATTACTTTGGGCAAGTGAATCATTTAGAATTAAATTTCTTGAAACAATACTTCCGAAAAAGATACATAAAAGAATTATTGGATCAATGACACAAACATCTAAAATCATACAAAATGGTCAAAAAACAATTAAGGTGATGCCGGCAAATTTACCAAGACTATATTAACATAAAGCTAAATTTTGTTTTCAATATGATAATTTTTTTTCCAACAATTAAAAATATTGTTGCAAGAAAAATTTCATTTTCTTTGAATATTTTGTTTAGTTGGAGAGATTTTTGTTTAGTTAGAGATTTTGTCTTAAAATCTTTTTTGCTAAAAAAACATTTTTATAAACCTATCTATAGTATATCAGAATAACCATTGATAAATAAATAATTAAGTTGGTCCAACAAGTTCTGATAAGTCAATCATTTTAATATTAATTATGAAAATTAACGACACATTAATTTAATTTTATATTATTTAATTTAGTTTATTTAGACTAATATACTACAAAATTAAAAAAAAATATTTTTAAATTTAATTCACAGAATTCCTTTTCATTTTTTTCTTTTAGAATATTCTCAGTTTCTTTATTCCAAAGATTGTTAAAAATTCTTTTCCACCAAAAAACCCTCCTTCTCATGTAGTCCAACGTGAAATATTGTTACCATCAATTTCAATTACAGTTTCACCGTTACTGTAACCTCCATAATGGTTATTTCTAATCTCAACCTTGTTTGTATCTGTTGTACTCTCCTCTTTACCAGAAGTGTTTCCTTCCCCAATCATTCGAGCCTCAGTAATATCACCATTTATTTTAACATAATTATTAGCATTTACATTATCAATATGCATCTAAATTTTAAAATTGACAGATATTGTTACATTATGACACAAGGGAATGAATTATCGATGTTTACTTGATGGAGGTATTTCTGAGCAATCTGAAGATATACAGGACACTGTGGATTGTATTTATAGGTTAAGTTTTTTAAAGCTCTAAGCTTTAAAAAATCTGTTCATGATATAGTAGATATCGATATTGTCTGAATAAAATATGAGTTTATTTGTTATTTGTAAGCATTGGGAAGCAATATGAGAGAAATTTACCTATTTTGGAGACAGGAGAACAATTCTAATCTGTTTTTTTATAATGAACACTATACAAATACTATCAAATTCCCAACATTTAGAATGGACACAAACTATCAGAAAATATAATATTTCAAATAAAAACCTCCAGATTTCCAATATTTCCATTTATTTTAAGAGCATCTCCTACTCGTTTATTTGGAACGTTTTGTTTAAATTCATATTTTTTGCTCGGTGTAGGAATATTCTCAACACTTCCAGTAACATGAACTTTTATAGCCTTTGCTTTTATCATGCTATATCTCTTCATGTTAGTATTTGCATTTATGTTACGCCCTGTTATTTTTATCTTGTAGCCATTTTTCTCAATTATAACGCCATTAATGTTTGTTACCCCTTCAGTATAACGAACTTCATCTCCATTGAAAAATATCTTTGTTTTTAACAAATATTCAGTTATTTTTATGTTATTTCCATTAATTATTGCCATTCCTATATCACCATTGATGTTTAAATATCTAACAAACTCAGGATAATGTTGAGGGCTTTCAACAAGAATTCCTTCTTTGAATACTGATAATTTAACAAAACTAAAATCTCGATTCCAATCAGCATCTTAATTAAATATTATTTGTATAGATCCTATAGTTTTTCTTAACATAACTCAAGTGTCGATCCGAAGGCCCATAGCAAAACCCTTCTAATATTAAATCTTTATATCTAGATGTGAGGCCGAAGGCACGAAACTAGAAAAAAACTAGACGTTTTGGGTCAGTCATCAAAACCCCCTAAAGCCGATGGTCTTAATAACGTCCTAAAGAAGTTTAAAAATTTATTTGGAGTTTTGCTTACATTTGTTATTCTTTCCAACTGAGAATTTTGTGTGAAAGGAAGATCCTGATTTAGCAAATGGGAATCCTTCTCCAAATTCGAATTCTGATTCTGAGTTATAAGAGGCTTCTGAGTCAGACGTATCTGATCCTCCAAATGAGGATTCCATGTTAATTTGGTCTCCTGAGACAAATTCACCATTTCCTTTGCCAAAGAAAGTGTTGCCTATGTTATGAATAGTTCCTCCTCTAAAATGATGTGATCCTCCACCAAAAGATTGAGTCCTTCCTTGAGTCTCTGCTTCATTTTGAGATCCAGCTTTTGATGATCCACCAAATGGGAATCCTCGGTTAAATATGCCCCCAGAGACAAATCCACCTAGTCCATTTCCATGAAATATTCCTGTATTATGAATTGTTCCTCCTCTAAAATGACTCGATCCTCCACCAAAAGATTCCGTCTTTCTTTTGGACTTCTTATCTTTATGGTATGCAGTTTTTGAACTTTCCCCTTCCGTAGATTTTCCTTTCTTCTTAGCAAGTTCTCTATCATATTCTTCTCTTTTTGTTTTATCGCTAAGAATCAAATGAGCTTCTGACAATTTTTCTAAATTATCTAAAAAAGCCTTATCGCTCTGTTTGGCATTTCGATTTTTCTCTTTCCTTTCATTAAATGCAGCTTCAATCTCACCAGGAGAAGCATTTTTATCAACCATTAAAGTTTTATAGTGGGTTGCTTCAATTTTCAAAATAAAATTGATCGAAAAGAGTAAAAGAAACAAATAGATGGATGCCATCTTTTGGAATTTTTTATTATACTTAGAAATTTATCTTAAATAAAAATTTAGAAGTATTGATATTATCGATAAAAAATAATTTTTATTTACAAAAAGTCTGATCATGGTTGTCAGATTAATTGAAAATTTTAGGCTATTTTCAATAGATTATATTAATTTTCGAAATACGGAGTTGAAAGATATATCTACTTCTAATTACTTACTGACAAACTCAATTAAAAACCAAACAAATAGCCTATATTTTGGCTGTGTTGAAACAAGAATTTTTGAGGTAAAATTTTTTTTGATTTTCGATTTTAAAAATTTTGAAACTGTTTTTTCAATTATTCCATTTTAATCTAAGGAATAAGAGAGATCTAGCTAACCTCTCTTCTTGTAAGAGAGATAAATGAAGAGAGATCCAGGAAGAGAGATCCAAAAGAGATATTCAGGAAGAGATTTAATTACCTAACAAAGAGGAGCGATCCAGCTGGTTTAAAATTTATTAAAGAAAATGTAGACTGATATTTTGGTAAATTATTATTCTCTTAAATAGTCAATAAATTATTATGTAATAATTTCTTAATTATTACATATTTGGTCTTTTTATTTATTTCTTATTAATTTTTTGTCTCGATACTTTCCCAATATTTGCAATTTTTCACTATTTCCGATATTATTTTATCATCACTACTTTCTCAAATATCTGTCCTTATGCCTTTCCAAAAGTCTATCTAACCTTAATAACAAAATTTAATCTGATCTCTAAACCAAGAAATTTTTAATTACATAATTTAATTTCGCACTTTATGAATTTTTAAAAACATTTCATTAGATTTTTAATTTATTGTCAATTTTCTCTAAATGAGCCTCTATTTCTAGTCGAACGACCGTCCAATATTGCACACCTATGATAATGAATCACTAAATAAGGGACCGTCAGTCTCCAATAGAACTGCCCTCGACAGATATTTTTGTTTATTGTCCGAAATATCACTTTTCTTCACTATATTGTTCCTGTAATGACTCGAAATTCATGTTATAATATAATGATAGAATTGCTATTATAAGAAAATGAACTTATATGCGTCCTTATAGAACCACAATGAATATCAAATCAGGTTATGTTCCTAAAAATTTATTTGGTTATGTTCCTAAAAATTTATTTACATCTTCTAACAATGTTAGAAGATGTGTCTTTTTGTACATATTCAGTTATTCCCCAGGGCAGTGTTTTGGGATCTATTTTATTCCCATCTTTATTAACGATTTAAAAATAAAAATTCACAGGTCGGGTTTTAGAAAATATATCGTGTCATGTTTCGGGTTTCGAGTCGTTAAAAAGCCGGGTTTCTGGTATGGGTCCATGATATAGAGTAGAGATCGGCCGAAGAGGTCGGTCGATATTTTTCGATAAATATCGAAAAATACCGAATATCGAAAAATATCGATAAAATCAAAATTTTCTCGGTCGATATTTTTTCGATAAATATCGAAAAATATCGAAACCGAAAAATATCGAAAAAAAAGTGTCGATATTTTTCGATTTTTTTTAAAAAAATAAAAATTTTACCAAAGAATAACAAAAATATTTATAATTAAAATATTTAATCAATATTTATAATTAATTATTGGCAGATTTCTGTTCAGGAATATCAATATCTTGGCCTTGGGGATTAAGTCTTCTGCGCCGATAGGTGTAAGTGGAAAATAACTGTTCAGATGCAATGCTACTAGCTGGAATACAAAGAAATTTTTGTGCTTCTTTAGATAAAACTAAATTAAAAATCATTAGATGATGAATCAGACCAGATGTCTGATGTGAAGGCAATTTTTGGACAATAATTTAATTCATTTTTTACTTTTAATTTAACCATGTCGTAAACTTTTGGTAAAATATTTTTTCTGTAAACAGATTCATCACTTAATTTTTGAAGAGGATTATTGCTCATAAAAAGTGAATGAGTCGTGGGATTATTGATGTCAGAAAAAGAAGCTTGCGTACAAGCAATCCAATGAATAACTTTTTATCAAATGATGAAATTCCACCTTAAAAAATGTTGAAAAAATATAAATTAAAATTTTATACCACTTCCTGTAATAATATGGTTTTCTATTGATCACTTTTCACCTTTTTGTCTAGTCAATGCTTCAAATTTCGTTTGAAAATCGCTGTTTTTGTGTTTGCATTTGAGATGACTTACTAAATTTGTCGTGCTGCTTTGTTGACATTTAATTATCTTATTACACTCAAGACATTCTTCAAAAAATTAATTTTTTAATAAAAACGTTTAAAATTTCCCATATTTGGAAAAATACATCTATCATTTAATTTTATCATGCTAATACATACATATCTACCGAGCTAATCAGTTTTTTAAGAGTTAAACTTTATTTTCGTTAGTAAATATAGAAGCTTATCTAATATAAAAAATTTTTGAAATCAAAAAAAATTGTTGCGTTTATAACTGCTGTATATCTTATATTAAATATCTCGTATACATTTCATTAGAAATTTTTCAATACATTGCGTATTATACTTTTCGAAGTACGTTTTGGTGACGTTTTGTTCAACTATGCAAGTAAAGATAACGAAATACTTCTAAATCACATTTTTAGGCACAAAATTCGGGCTTTTGGAGAATTAGTATTAATAGCCTAACTATTATCGTTTAACCTTTGGAATCCATCTACATACATATAATCTTTCAAAAGTTATTTTGTAAAATTGTTTAGCTAGTTAAATAATTAACATTCCCAATAATACATTCACAGATTTCACATAACTTTTAAGCTTTCACAATAACAAACTTTATCTTTGTTTTATTGAAAAAAAAGAAAATTTGAGAAATATTAAATAAAAATCGCTCTTTCTGTCCTTTTTGTTTACCTTTACTTAATTTGTAACTGATTTGTGTTTATATCTATTTGTATTTGAGGGGCTTTTTTTGAATTTCTTCATATCTGTCGGATAACCCATGCTATCCGACATTCTGGGAACAGACTTTTGGAGCCGGATTTGAGGACGACATTTGAGGATATAATTCGCAAATCCCTAACATTCTATATAAATTTTAATTAAAAATCGGCCTGAATCTCGATCTAGATCTTGATTATTTTTGGATCTTTATTCTTGGAAATTTTGAAAATTTTGGAAGATCCGTAAGCCAAAAATCTTTCATATTTCAGCGCAAAAAATTTTTTTCACCTTAGAGAAATATTAAATAAAAAGTACATTTTTATCCATTTTGTTTATCTTTTCTTAATTTATAACTAGGGATGGGATTTATATGGATTTCCATATTTTTTTCCTGAACTCGTTGGGTTCTGAAACGTCCAAAAAACATGTTTTTAGCCGGAGCAGTTCAACTGAGTCCGCACGATTGAGTCCCCACGATTGAGTCCGCACGATTGAGTCCCCACGATTGAGTCCCGGCACAATTGAGTCCCCACGATTGAGTCCGCACGATTGAGTCCCCGTTGTATATACCTCAATTGAGTCCCCGTTAAAAATTCCCGGTAGGAATTTTTATTTTCTTAGATTTTTTTATTGTTTTTTTTTTATTTTTTTGTTTTTCTTTTGGGGTTTGCAACTAATTTTGTTAATTAGTTGACCGACCATCCACTCAAGTCCATCCGAGCACTGAATTTTCTCAATGAGGACGAGAGGGAGGACGAGAATCTTGTGTAGGTAAAAGTTTAATTTTTATTTTTTAATTTTAGATTTTATATTTCAGGTTGGTCTAACTTTGCTCATCACGTGTCGGACTTAATCCCACGGCTGCAACGATGGGAAATTTGAAAAGGTTTGGAATTTTTATTTTGTTTTTCGTTTTTATTTTTAAAATTTTTTAGTTGATTTTCATCAGTTTCTGACTGGCGATTTTCAAGTTCACAGTTTCTGAAGGAACGAAGGTGGTGAACTTAGGAGAACAAAAAACGAAAGAAAGGCCCTTCTTTGGCACACTAATTGAAGCTAGACTTTGGTTTTTTTTAATTTTTTTGATAAAATTTTTAAAAAATATTTTTTTATTTTTTTTTCACATTTTGATTTTCTCCCGTATCCAGGTAAATTCTGCCGGAGTCCGGAAATTAGGAAGGAGTTTTTACGTTCGTAATTTAGATAGTTTCCCCTACCCTCCATAGCAGCACAAAAAGTTTTTCCAGCGAAGATTCTGTTGGTCAAAATTTGTTCAGAATCATTCAATCAACTTGATTTTGGTCTTATTCAACTCATCTCGTCTATCCCTTTCGAATGAGCTATTTTTTGTTTATTCGAATGTTTCGCAACAAAAATTCCCCATGGAATTCCACCAAAAAATCCACCATTTCGAGCCCCATATCTCGGCGAGAACTTGTTCAACAATGTTGATTTTGGTGTCATTCGACTCACTACTTTCGAATGAGCTGTCATTCAAAAAATCTCTCGATATCCCTCCTAATCCCCAAACCCACAATATCATCTTAATCTCTCCGAATTTGTTGATATCTGCCTTAATTCAACCGATATCCCCGCTTAAATCTACTTATATCCCTTGATATTCACCAATATCCATCTTGATACCTCGATGTCGGTTACAAGTCCCCTGATATTAACATTAATCCCTCCAAATCCCCAAATATCCCTCTTAATCTTTTTTAATATAATTAAATCTAGGGGACTCAATTGAGGTATATACAACGGGGACTCAATCGTGCGGACTCAATCGTGGGGACTCAATTGTGCCGGGACTCAATCGTGGGGACTCAATCGTGCGGACTCAATCGTGGGGACTCAATCGTGCGGACTCAATTGAGGTGTACCGGTTTTTAGCATATGGTGATAAGGCCGTTTTTGAGTTATCAATCCATATTTTCCATATTTTTCCATATTTTGGCGTTCCGTCCATATTTCCATATTTTATCCATATTTCGCCATTTTTTTTTAAATTTTGCTAAAAATTGGTCAAAATTTTCAAATTTATAAAATTTTTGGTCAAAAATTTTTATAAAAAAATTTTTTGAAAAAATTTTTTCGAAAA